CTGCAGCCACTGACTGACTCTCGGGGGCAATTAGGAACAATTACAGTAGCTCCTCATACAGAACGTCACCTTATTCCGAATCATTGAAGGGTTGAATCCAAACAGCCCCCTGCAGCCGCCGTGACATCCAGCAAAAACTATCGGCTTTACAGTGACAATTAGTCTGCAGCAGGTCTGCACACGACCCGTCACACACACCTAAAGGACGACAGGCTCCAAGATGATAAACAAAATAAAAACTCGAGTAATTATAATGATCTGCTCTATGAAGTCAGACAGTGGTGGAAGACCACGGGTCAGATTTATGCCTCTGGGACACATCAAATAATAAGTCGTCTCTGAGGAAAATAGGACGAAGCAGTACAGCACACATAAATACAAAGATTAATTTCCCAAAATAATCATCCACCGCTCATCCATTCATTTTGTCAGCTGTAGTTTCCTTTAAATTATTGGGTACCTTACATGACACTAGATTAAAAAAATCAATTCAATCTTATAAAATATCACCATCACGGTCCAGTGTTATGTGTTTTTAATTGGATTCTATCTTTCGTTAGTGGAGATTAAGCTGAGGCAGGAAATTTGTACACGTTTTTTTTCTGATTATTAAGGAGGAAAAAAAAACCTCTTAAGGGAGCGACCTAATTGGTTAATGCATTTATTTTTAATACATTAATTTTCTGCTGGGTTGTTAACACTACACATTTCTGCGTCTGACTTCCACTGTACTACAGTACATCCACTCCAGATCGCTGTAGTTGCTATTAAAGACCATCTCTTCTGCTACATCAAATCTGTCATCCATGCTACACCTGAGTTTTTGAGCGTCTCAAACAGACTTTTAAAAATGATGACATACACACCCACGTTCACCTCCTGATTGGTTCCTGTGAGTCATCATTCTCCAAGGTGTTGGTAACAGTTGCTGTCACTAACAGTTTCACCTTATCGTGGCTGCAAGAGAAAGAAAAAGAACTAACAACTTTTGTTTTTACTTTACCCCATTGCTCGTGCTGGTTTCTGAGAGTGAACACTCAATTGCAAAGGGACAGTTGGCCTCTGCTGCACAATTAAGATAACACCAAGGTTACTGCAGGTCATAGACTCAATCGTTTTGTTTCTGTCTGACTAATTCTGACTCACTTTAATGGACCTAAGAATCTGTATCCCACGAACGTCTGGCTCTGTGGAGGGCTACTCAACATTTAGCCAATTTGGCCCAGCTCAAGTTAGTCCAAATTACATTATTAATTTATATTATTATTATACTTCTGCCTTTTCCCTGCAATACCTCATTTCCCCAATAGATGGCATGTAAAAGGCTATAATCATTTTAGCCTTTATGTATGACATTTACATGTCATTTATCTTTCGTCCATCTATTGCTCCTGACCCGGTCCACTGTGGCCCGTGTGTCCAAGAGTTTGTCCACGGAAGGAATTCCTTGATTCAAACACTGCTTGGCTGAAGTGACTTTAAAAAAGCTCTCCAAAAACTGAACAGTTTGACTCCCTAACCCTGGTACGGGTCCTGAGTCCTCGTGTTAATAAGTGTGGCCCTTTTTTTTGTCTTATGTAAATGTAGCTGCTTCATAAAAACAAATTGACTGATGACCGAAGAAACTCAGGTAAAATGTCAGGTCCACTTGAGAAGCCGCTGTCACTGTCATGTTCTGACATGAGTTCTGACACGGAGCTAAAGTGCTGGAGACGTTTTCATTCTGAAGGAAAATGAAGCCTAATTAGGGCCGACTTACAGTCTGGACTGCCATTCTGGTCTGCACTAGAAATCCCTCCAGGCTGGAAAAAGCATATTGAAATCTGACACCGGTGGACTGTGTGATACTGGAGCTCCTGCTTATTAGAGCTCCGTCAGAAACATGGCACATGCCTGGTGCTGTTGCTGAAAGGTCTTCCAATAATCCTGACTTCCACGTTAGCAGGAACAGCGTGTTGCCCTTTAAAATAAAGGCCGACTGAAAGGTGTCTGCAAATGTGCCACTTCTGGGGGAACCTGGAGAAAGAACACCTTGTTGCCACAGTTGCCACTATTTTTGTAATTATTGACATTTTGACGTTTTAATAATTCCATCGTTTGGATGAGTCAGAAATAAAAACGGGTGTGAAACAACCGTCAGTTCCAGCAACATACAGGAAATGACGTTTACAGTAGGAATGTGTCTTTATCTGGACTAACCGTGGTTAAGTACGATCATGATTAATCATGATTAACAGTGATTGATCCTCAGCTACCGTGTGATGCCATCAACTTAGACATGTCACTTAAAACGTTAGGTCTGAAAAATCAACTTCTGTTGGGCCAATAACCTCTGTCCCGTGCTGGGACCTCATGCCACATTTTTTGCCACCCTTAGAAAAAAAACTCGAGTTGCGCCACTGGGTTATATTGACGTGTGAGTGAGTGTGCGCGCGTGCACGCGTATGCGTGTGT